TTGCTTAAGCTCAGTTTGCCAGAAATTTTAATGAGTTTGGTGCTTAGAATTAGGACATACTTAATTTTTAAAATCTCTTACCAAAGCCTAGTTTTAAATATGTAGGTAATATGGTTTAATTGGACTCAGTTGTGTGGTTTAAAAATTAATTTTTTTTCCCAGTTCTGGGGATTTAACTGAGGGCCACACACATACATGCTAGATAGGTGCTGTAACCATTGAGCTACATCTTCAGATCCTATAATTGTTATTTACATATGGAGATTTATTGTAAATAAGTTGCCTTCATTTCTGTTATGGTCTGAATGTTTCTACTCAAAAATGTTTTTGTTGAAGCCTCATTCCCAAAGCAATGGTATTAAGAGTTACCAGAGGTTAAATCCAGTGTGTTTAACCACTGAGCCATATCCCCAACTCTTTTTAAAAAATATTTTACTTTAGAGACACAGACTCACTAAGTTGCTTAGGACCTTGCCAAGTTGCTGTGGTTGGCTTCAAACTCATGATCCTCCTTATCTTTTAGGGGTAATCAGTCATGGTAGAGAAACCTTCCTGAATGAAATTATTGCCCTTATTAAAAGAGGCCTGAGGAAGCTTGTTCATTTCTTTGACCATGTAAAGGTGCAGCAGTAAAGTGGCAAAAACCTTTACCAGACATGGTGGAATCTACTGGTACCTGGATCTTGTACTTCCCAACTTCTAGATCCATGAGAAAGAAATTTCTGTCTTTTTTTTTTTTTTTTTTTTTGGTATTGGGGTTTGAACTCAGGGACATTTAACCACTGAGCCACATCCCCAGTTCTTTTAAAAATATTTTATTTAGAAACAGGTCTCACTGAGTTACTTGGGCCTCACTAAGTTGCTGAGGCTGGCTTTGAATTTGTGATCCTCCTGCCTTAGCTTCCTGAGCTGCTGGGATTACAGGCATCTGCTAGGTGCCTGACTATTTGTGTTATTGTTTAAAACACTCAGTCTTAATGATGTTTTTGTTATAGTAGCCTAAAAGTACTAAAACACTTTGTTAATTTTGCTATACAAAAGATAAAAAGACTAGTAGTTCTGAAATCTGTAGAAATTGACTTAAATTCTAGACTTTGAGAAAAAACTGAAACTAGAAGTGGCTTTCTTACATAAGAAATAAGCAGTATTTCAAATGAATGATTATTTTGTATAGGAAAATATACTATATGACTGTAAGGAAACTATATTACCAGAGATTAGAAAAATTCAAAATAAGTTTTTTTTATGAGTTGTTAATAGACCTTTATTTTACTTATTTATATGTGGTGCTGAGCATAGAACCCAGTGCCTCACACATGCCAGGCAAGTGCGCTACTGCTGAGCCCCAGTCCCAGCCCCTCAAAATAAGTTTTAATCAACCTTACAATGAATCTGATAGTGGAAGAATCCCTTGGTCTCACGGTAAATTTCTCAGTGCACTGTGCCGAGTCTGTTGCCAGAATAACTGGCTCTAATTCATAAGATATTATGTTAAGTATCTTCTAAATGCTGAGTGTTAGAATAAGTAGAATAATAAGACATGGTCTTTGCTTTTTGAAGTATAACTTAGTCATAGTGTTAGAGTAATAGTAAAAATAGCAATCTATTATTAGTAGAGATTAACATAGTAACAGTATTATGGTATGTGTATTATTAGAGATTATATAGTAATAGTAACAGTGATAATAATGATTACTATTACTATTATTTAATATTAATAATATTAAGTTACTATTATTACTGTTATATTATTGCTGCTATTCTATTCTGAATTTATAGTAAAATATTGCCTAGCATATCAAATAACATGCTGATACATTTTTATCTAATCCCATTACACATGATACTATTTAATATTAACTTTGCATGTTATGTAATTAATTTTATTTTTAAAATGCATTTATAATTAGGGCAAATGTCGATATTTATAGAAGATATTGAACACTAGTTGTTAAATTTTGATGTTTATTTTTGCAAAAATTAATTATGCTATATTATGAGGATCACAGATAATATAAGTCTTTTAGATTAGGCATAAATCACCTTATTAAAAAAATGTTTTTAAAGTGTTATATAACACTAAATATCAGAATTCCAGCCATAATTTTTGAAATTTATTTTGAGGAGTAACTGTATTTGAGAAATTTTTTTAACACAATCACCTATTTGAAAAATTTTGCCTCTATAGTTTATAGGCATTTATTCTTTATATTACTGTAACTGAGGAAATTGATGTGAAATGGGATGTTAGCCTGTGGGATGTATTGTATATAATTTTGAATGTGAAGTTCATGTCATTATTGAATATAAAAGTTTAAATTATATTTTTTGAAAATATTTTAGTTATTGATAGACCTTTATTTATTTATATGTGGTGCTGAGAATCAAACCCAGTGCCTCACATGTGCCAGGCAATTGTACTACCCCTGAGCCACAGCCACAGCCACCTGCCGCCCCTCCTTTTAAATATTTTTTTTAGTTATTGTAAATTAGATTTTTATGTAGTTGTTTTTTCTTGGTACTAAGGAACATGTGCTATTAAATCTGAAGGAGAACTTCAAAACTATATAATTGGGCCAACTCTTTTGTTTTTCTTATAAGGAATCAGGGAAAGTAAATTATTTGCTTAAGTTCAGGTCACAAATACAATGGCTCAATGTAACTCCAAATGATTTTGTGCACTGTTATAGGTATATTCTATATTAGAAAGGACTTGGCTTTTGTGTCAGATTATCAGTTCAAATTTTGGCTCAGCCCTAGTTAGCCAGCCTTCTGCCAGAAAAGTCCAGGCACTGAAAATTAATTGATATTTTCTGTTAGTGGCTATTCATACTTAATAGATTCCATTCACATGTAAGTACTTTTGAAGTTGTGGCTATACCATTTTATCCCCTTTTTTTTTAAAGAGAGAGTGAGAGAGGAGAGAGAGAGAGAGGAGAGAGAGAATTTTTAATATTTATTTTTTAGTTCTCGGCGGACACAACATCCTTGCTGGCATGTGGTGCTGAGAATCGAACCCGGGCCGCACGCACGCCAGGCGAGCGCGCCACCGCTTGAGCCACATCCCCAGCCCCCATTTTATCCCTTTTTGAAGTATTTACACTAGAATTGTTATTCTAGTCACTCTAGATGAGCAAGTGGACTCCTTCTAAAATCATGTTTTATAGTTTGCAAGTCAGGGTCTTCTATATCCCTTGGGGGTAAAACGATGAAAAATAACAGTATTACTCATTTGCTTTTAAAAAGCAGAGCAAATAAAATTTGTTGGATTTAAAGACCTTTTCTGATCTGTACCCATCTCCTGAATTATCTGTCTCACTTGTTCATTAAATAGTTCTGTGATATTAGATTTTGTTGGCAGAGGTTGCTTGAGTTTTATGTAATACAGATTGTTTGTTTCTTTAAGTCGCCTGTTTTCCCCTCTTTCAAGTTTTCAAACCAGTTATTACAGCTTAAAATGTGTGTGTGTATGTGTATGCACATATGTAGTCATATTTTCCTTTGTTTTGATTTTATTACCACCTGCCTTTTTTGTCAAGTTACCTGGTGCTTTAGTACTGTAAGTTCAGTTGTGCATTGCTTCCTATGCACATATGAGACTGACATAAAATAGATTTCTTTCTATATTCTGAATAGCATTAATGAATGCAGGATCAATTGTCTTTGGCTTAGGTTGGGTAGTCACTGTGGCCTATGCGATGAAATGTTCTGGGCAAGTCTTGGTTATATGTTTACTCCTAAATGTAGTAGTGCAAATGGGATACAATTATTTCAGTAAGCTCTATAAAAACCATTTGAACTCAAAAAATGAGGGAAATGGGAACTTCTAAGGAAAGTCAGGATTCTTATTACTAAAAACTAGGTAGATTAGAACAATAGTGTTTATGATAGTATAAAAATCTTATAAAATTATGCTATTAGATCGCAGGTTAGTGAGTGATTACTTTAAAGTCATTTGGGAAGCTTTTAAATATCTTGGGTCGATGCCCTGACTGTACTCTGGACCAGTAAAACCAGAAATTCTGCAAGTAATATAAAATTCCTCAGCAATACTATGCAAATAAGAAGGAGGTGGACAGAGTTGATGGAGTATTTAGTTAGCAAGGGTTCAATAAGAGGGGTATCAGAGAAGTTCCTGTGGGTGAAGCATGATCCCATAGGGAGCGCAGGGAGTCCTCACAGCCAGGAAGGGACTTACAGTTTAGGAAGTCATGGAATAATCTCCAGTCTGGAAGAAGACCCAGGAAGAAAAAAATGAAGCCTGGGATTCAAGCCCAGTTTCATAATGTATATTGAAAAATCTAAAGAATCAGGATCTGTTCCTGCTAGCTTCAATGGATGTTTGTCTAGAGCAGTAGTTTAGGAGTCTGATTCACCAGTGGATTGCCCATTAGTTGGTCAGAAGTGAAGACAAATGCTTCAAAGTTACTTAGGGTCTTGCTTGAGAGGTCAAATGATGAATCTGACCCTCTCTTGAGTTGTGGCACCATAACTTAACAAAATTATTCTGTGATACTTACTAAGTGTGATAAAGTTGATTTTACCATCATAGTAGGTATAGGGACCACAGCAGTGGGATTTTACAGTAGTTTGGGAAAAGAGATTGGGCTCAACTCCAAATATAGGATAGGCTAGTAGAAATTCATAGCCAAGTGAGCAGGATGGGTGAGGTTGGTGGATCAAAAATTGCTGAGGTTACATCAAGAGTAAGGGGCATTCTGGTTAAACTAGCCCAACACGGTTCACTGTCCAGGGTAATCAGATATCACGTAGCTGATGATAGGGGATTAAAAAAAAAACCTCATCAGTGGAAGATATTGAGGGTATCTGACTTAGCAGGGTTTGTCTGCTAAAACTGGATTTTATAAGGAAATGCATGGAAATACCTAGGAGACATTTGAGAAGCCTGACTAAAGGTTAGTTAAGTGAAAAACCTATGGCAATAGATGTAAACTTTATGATGCTAATTTTTTTCTTTTATGCTGTTTTGTTTTAAATAGGCTGATAGCACGCCAGCTTGCTAAAGTCCATGCTATCCATGCACATAATGGCTGGATCCCAAAATCTAATTTGTGGCTCAAGATGGGAAAATATTTCTCTCTCATTCCCACAGGATTTGCAGATGAAGACATTAATAAAAGGTAAAACTACTTTCATATTTGCAATTGTTTTCATCGCTTTGCTCTATAATAGGGACTAAAAGGTAGTAATTACAGTGTTTCTATGTATTAAAATTTGATTTTGTTTATCTCTGTGTTGAAGTTTAAAAAAGCTTGATTCTTTGACTTTCAAATGACACTACAAAAGTAACTACCTCTCTATCCCCCTGAAGATCCTGCCCACGGAAGGGGGAAGGTACACAAAGGGGCAAGAAACAAATATTGAGCACATATTTAGAAATAATTATAAAGATCACTATGAATGCATACATTTTTCCCTACTATAAATTTTCCATAGAGAGTTTTTAAAAAAAATTCTTCTTAATTCAAAGTTGTTTTGAGAAAAGACAGATCTACTTTGGAACAGTATGGTAATATTGGATAAGTTTGGGTTGTCTTAGTTTACTGTGATAACTTAAATGCCAGATAATGAATATTAACATTCATTTGTTGGAGTCTTACACAGCTTTTGTAAGACTGACTTCCTAGGTTGCAACTGACTACAGTATTTCCTTGATTTCTACATTAAAAAATTATATATCAGTATATAGAATCTAAATAATATGAATGTATTTTTATATAGTATGGTTATTACTGATAAAATTGGAAATTTTTATTATGTTCTTTATATCTAAAACATGTGAAGGCTGTATCTTTGTATTTAGAAAGTCTTTGTTTTTTAAGACCATGTAGGCAAGCAGGACTTTTAAATTTTTTTCCTTGCTTGCCTTGTTCCCGGCAACATAAACACTCAGACTTTCGCCCACCTAGGGACTCTATTTGCCAGGTTGCTTGTGACTAAAACACTCAGGGAGTCACTCCAGGGGAACTGGGCTAACTGGGCTGCACAAAATAACCACACGAGACAGAAATACCTTTTTCTTTGGGGATGCTGTGACGGCTCCTCTGACCTTAAGGATCCCCAGAAAGAAAGAAAGAGCAGTGCTGACCCCTTTTATTGAGGAGAAGCTATTTAAATGAGGCAAGGGATCAGGTTTCAGGGGGCTGAGTTCAGCTTCATGACATCTGCAGTCAGCAGGTTGACTGACATCTAGGTAGGCCACACCCAAGGGCACAGTAAGAGAAGGGAATATACAAAGGGCATTTCCATGGAACATTCTATCCTAAACAGGGCAAGGGGTAATATTACAAAAGAACAGGTGAGCATAGCTCCACCCATGGGAATGTGGGAAGACATGCCCATGCAGGAAGACACAGTGGCTCACACCCTAAAAATTGGGGCTATCCTCTGGGTTAGACCTACGACAATGCCACACCAATCAGAAGGGGAGATAAGATGTGGTCATGTGCTAGCTGGCTTCCCACATTGTTTCTTTTTATTTTTATAGTTTATTAGGGAAAAATTGTCCTCAAGTTTAATTATTTCAAAGTTTAATTTGATCTGCTCTGTGTGGTTGGTCCTCTGTTTCTATAGGCTTTGTACCCACAGATTCAAGCAACTACACATAAAAAATACTTGAAAAAAATTACTTCTGTACTAAGACGTACATTTTTTTGTTATAGTTCCCTACACAATACAGTATAATAGCTATATATAATTTACCTTATTATGTATTATTAGTAATCTAGAGATGATTTAAACATAGGAGAGTATGTGCCTAGGTAAGGGACTTGAATTGAGCATCTGTGAATTTTGGTATCCTGGAACCAATCCCCTACAGATACTGAGGGACAGAACTGTATGTGTTTGTATTTGTAAGTGGTTTGTCAATGTTGGAATTTCATAGGGATATTATATTCCTCAAGCTAGAATAGGCAAACTTTTGGAAGTATGTGTAGTGTGTTGATATTATGGAAGCCACCACATAAAAATAGACAATTCTTTCTTGAAATAGCCATTTTATTGAAAGATTTTTGGGGAAGCCATTTTAAAATAATGAGGTGGCTGGGCATGGTGGTGTATGCCTGTTCCAGCTACTTTTGGGAGGCTGAGGTAGGAGGATCACAAGTTTCAGGCTAGTCTGGGCAACTTGGTGAGACCCTAGCTCTAAATAAGAAAAATGAAATGTTCTGGGGATGTATGTAGCTTAATAGTATATCCCTTAGCAGAGTGCGAAGGAGAGAGGTAAATGATGATGATGAACCAAGAGTTTTTTAATTTTTAAAGATAATGCAGAGTTAAAAGAGTACAGTATTATGTAGATTAAGAGCCTAAGACTTGGATCCAGATTGAGATCATATCCTAGTTCTGCCAGTAGGCATTTCTGCTGTGTATCATTGGGTAAATCATCTTAACTCATTTCCTCTTCTATAAAATGGAAATAAGAATAGTTTTAGATAAAGTGCTTAATTAAAACAATGCCTGGCTTCATAAGTGCCAAATTAAAACTATTATTATTATTCAAAAGGGATTATTTAGGTCTTTTTTTGCATGTGGTACTGAGAATAGGATGGAATCCTAGGTGAGCTCTGTGACTCTGTGCTATATATCTAGCCCTTCAGGTTGGTTTTGAGCTTATATTTCCTAGACTCTCTAAGGTACACTTTAAAATCTGTATGGTTAGTGAAACTTTGGAAAAGCAAGTAGTGTACCATGGTAAATAAGAGAGAGAAAACACTCTGCTTCAATAGAAAATACACATCTAGAACAAAAACAATTAAAATTCCCTTTTGTTTGTGAATGATTATAATCAGCTTGTTGATAATCTTTATAATCCTTTGAACCCTATTATTTCCATTCAACTCCGTACTTTTTTTTTTTTTTTTAATTCTGGAATAGTCATTCCATTTTGAAAGGAACTTATAAGAATTACTTTTAGAAGTTATTTATAGAGAACAGTGCAGTAGTGGGGAAAATACATACAATACAGTTCAGTAATGTAAAAAAGGTATATTGTAAAATGGAAAACTAAGGAATAATTTGAGAGATTATAGAGAAAGAATCAAGAGAACTTGACAAATATTAGGAAGGAAAAGAGTAAATCAACAGCAGTCATCACCTGATGATACTGTTGAGGAATTTAGTAGCCCATTTTTGTCATTTCATTTTTATCAAATTAATACAAATGTAGCATAATAATTAGTGTCAAAGAGTATAGAATGAAAAGCCACAGTTTCTAGTTTCTCTCCTCATGCTGCCCTGCCCTTTCTACTCTCACAATTTTAAGACATTTTCTCGTGAGTTTGTTGTTCACATAATTATATAATATGAATGTACTTATATTTCCTGAATTATTAATGGTAGACAATAATCAATTGATTTTTTTGGAACTGTACCTGCTTTATATTGCATTCACTCTTCATAACTTAAAGTAGATATTTTTAATTTTTAAATAGTTTTTATAACTTTAAATAATATTCTTTTAAATCTTTTTATTAAATTCTTTGTATTTTTTATTCATAAAATGGAGATAAATGCAGAATATTTAGAATAATTTTTAGTAAATGTTATCAGTTAGCTATTTATGTTACTCTTTCCTCCAATTTTGTAATTATAAATCTTATTTTTCTGCCCAACTTTTTTTTTTTTTTTGTCGTACTAGGGATAGAACCTAAGGGTGTTCTGAACAACATCCCCAGCCCTTTTTATTTTATTTTATTTTTTTATTTTGAGACAGGGTCTTGTTAAGTTGCTGAGGCTGGCCTGGAACTCTTGATCCTCCTGCCTCAGCCTCCCAAGTAGCTGGGATTACAGGTGTGTGTTACCTTGCCCAACTCTGCCCTACATTTTAACTTGGCTTTGTTTCTTTTTAATGCATATTTAGTTTATTATAAAGATCTTCTGTATTTCAGCTTTTGGAATACATTGATCTATTAATTCAGGAGCGTGTCTAATTAAATGGAAATAACTTACTTAAAATAGATATTAATCCTTAAACTTGAAAAAAATGTCATTAAGATAAACAAGGTATAACTCTTCTTTTAAAACTAAAAGGTTCCTAAGTGATATCCCAAGCTCTCAGATTCTTAAGGAAGAGATGACTTGGATGAAGGAAATTCTTTCCAACCTGGGCTCTCCTGTTGTGCTTTGCCATAATGACCTATTGTGTAAGAATATAATCTACAATGAGAAACAAGGTAGGTATTTGATATTAGCAGTAAGTAAAATTGACTGCTTCTATGTTCTTAATGGTTCTTTGATCTTTGTATTAATAACAATAAATGCAATTCAAATGTAAAGATTAAAAACATTCACAAAGCCTGTAAAGAATTTCTTTTAGGTTATAAAGTCATGGTAAAATATTTTTAAAAATTGGTTGGTAAGAAACAGTTTACGGTTCCTGTTGGATTTTTACGTGTATAATGATTAAATACTGTTTTCACATATAATTCTGAAACCTGTTTGAGGTTTTATGATTTTAAATTATACCTGCTTGTAATGAGGGTTGTAGAAAATCAACAAATTGACATTGTACTGCTTTGTTTTCATATTTACAGAAAATTTCCCACAGTATTGTTAAAGACAGCAGTATTAGAAACAAGTGTGTCAGTAGGTTTTCTATTACCTGTTTCTTATGCTGATTTGTTAGACATTTTGATGCTAAGGAGAGAGCCAGAGAGGGAGAAAATGTTATTTGAATTTGTCCAAATTTATATCTACTAAAGTAATAATCAAGAAGCTTTGGTAATAGCTTTTAACATTTTTTGAGTTAGAAATTGATACTTTTTGGTGGAATGTTTTTTGTGAGTGTTCATATCTTGCTGTGTTCGAATTTTCTCTGTTTTCATATCTAAGAAACATTTGATTGTATTATATCATTGGGTAAAGTGGATTGAGGTTTGGTTGCTAAATAATAGATGCCCTTCAAATACTAAATTGAAAGTTAAAAATACAATTTTGGTTAAAGAATTAATATTAATTAAAAGTATATTGAAACTATGAAGCTATTGCTTTTCATAGGAAACTGGTTTTTAAAGATATTTTAGATGGAAGACCATATTTTTAATCCAAACTGTGCTGTTGTGAATATACTAAAGCCAAAGAATTCTCATTAACATGGTCAAAATCATGTTGAATTATTACTATGACCCTTCTTATCATATTATAAGTTTAGACTATTGTAATATAAGGGTTATTAATATTAATAGATGGCTTCAATGTGAAAACCAACCAAAGCAACACTGTCAAAGATGGTAGATGTAAGCACATATTTTAAAGAACGTGTTTATATTATGCTTGTTATGTCTAAAAAAAATTTTTTTAGTTGTAGATGGACACAATATATTTTTTTTAATGTGATGCTGAGGATCGAACTCAGTGCCTCACGCATGTGAGGCAAGCACTCAACCACCGAGCTACAACTCCAGCCCAATGTTTGATATCATGGATTATAGAGTATATCTTTTGAAAACATAATGAGCCTACATCTTTATCTTGAAGCATCTTAAAATTTTTATGTGGTATCCTTTTTTATTTTAAACTTCAGTACATTCTAAAACATTGGGTACGTGACAGTGTCCGTTAATGAGTTATTGTATTATTACATATGATTATCATAGTATATATGTATTACATTATTTATTAGTAACCAAATCTCAATGCCGTTTGTGAGAAAAAAAGCATTAGTTATGCATTAAAGCAATGTATTAGCTTTTAAGTTCATTTCAAGACCTAATAACACCTTATAACAGAATTTCAAGTGAGGGACTCATCTTACATTTGAAGTGGACACTCAGCTTTATTTTTAACTGCAAGTTAATCAAAGACGATCTATTATTTCCTTTGGAATATAATTTTCACCTTTCATATTTTTGTTTTTATGAGTTTCTTTTGCATATTCATTTCATAGAACAAACTTGTTTATAAAACAAAAAAATAAGGGACCAAAAAAATCAGATTACTTTGCCTTAGGTATTTTAATTTTAACAGTTGCCTATATCTAAACTATTCAGTTATATGGAAAATTCCTGTAATTTCAAATAAAATCTTCATGCTTCAATTAGTTTTTTAAGAGGTCAAGGTTGTCTTTTATTTTATTTTATTTTTTTTAAAAACAAAGAGTTAAATGAATCATCATTTTGTGTCTTGATTTTTCTCTGCTACACAGAATAAATTTTACAGCTCCACAAATGTAACTATTTTGATTCATATTATTAGAGCTCACCCTTTTTCAGAAGTCCATGTTGTACCATTTGTTTCTTCTTTGTGGTTATGTTTGTGTACTAGTTTTGGAAAGGTGGTATTTTTTCCCCCCATTAGCATTCAGTTTTATAATGTTGTTTGGAAGCTAATTTGGACCTTGTGGCATCCATTTGAAAAATGCAGTCAGTTCATATATAATTAATTTATATATACAGGACATTAAAAAACTTCTACAGAATCTTATAGGACACTTACAAAATTGCTCGATTTAAGTTTTCATAGCTGTCCTATGAATAGGACAATGGGACATGGATTTTGAGAAAGAAAATATAATTTGAATGTCAGTTAAAATATCAAAAAGTCTTAAGAATTTTATTCAAGTCTTTAATAATAGATTTCAAATTAGGAGCTGATGATTTTGAGGTAATATAACCATATTATTTATTTGAGTCTTTAGTTGTAAGTAGAAGATACTATGCCTCATATTCTTTAAATTAAGTAAGCTTAATGTACAATTAAGTAAGTTTAATTCACATAAGTGATTGTAGCATAGATAATTTAGTTATGGCAACAATCTCAGAAAGGCTTATTAAAACTACAGATGTGATGGGGCTGGGGTTATGGCTCAGTGGTAGCGTGCTTGCCTAGCATGCATGAGGTACTGGGTTCAATTCTCAGCACCATATACAGATAAATAAAGGTCCATCAACAACTTTAAAAAAAAAAAGAAACCTACAGATGTGGACTGCAAAGTTATTTACTTTTTTAACTGGTTACCTAAGGAGCCAATTTGAATCTTTTGAGATTGAGATAATTTCCACATAGAATTCTTAATTAAATTGTATATTAGATTCACAGACATGTTTGATTTGTTGTTCTCTTTACCTCATTCGTGTGATTTGACCTGAAGGCCTTACTATTTTATTACCTACCTTGTGAGATTCAAATAGATAAAAAAGTAATGGATGAGAGCTCAGTGGTAGAGCACTTGCCTAGATGGCTAAGGCCCTGAGTTTGAGCCTCTGCAACATTGTTCTCTCCCAAAACACAAAAGATGAAAGCCAAGGGGCTGTCCTTAGATGGCATCAAGTTCAGTATTTCTCCATAAAATGTTTGAGACAATTTCTTTCAGAAGTGCAAATTTTAGACAGACTTAAAAAATTTTTACAGGACCATCTTGAAAGTCCGTGTCTCCTATATCTATATCTTTATCTCTATCTGTGTGTATTTTAAATTTTTATTTTTACAGTACTGTGAATTGAACCCAAGTGTGCTCTACCACTGACGTATATACTCTCAGTTCTTTTTTATTCTGAGATAGGGTCTCCCTAAGTTGCTGAGGATAGCCTGGAGTTTGTGATCCTCTTGCCTTAGTCTCCTCAGTGCATGGGCAACCATGCCTGGCTCAGTGTGTATTTTTTTTTTAATATTTATTTTTTAATTTTAGGTGGATATAATATTTTTATTTTATTTTATTTTTTTATATGGTGCTGAGAATCGAACCCAGAGCCTCAGGAATGCTAGGCGAATGCTCTACCACTGAGCCACAACCCCAGCCCCTCTGTATGTATTTTTAAACCATAATAGTTCAGATTTTCTGTTTTAACTAGAAAAATCACCAATAAACGATGTATTCAAGCTTAGTTATAACCAAGAAAAGTTATAGATTTTGGAAAAAGAATATTTCAGTCACTTGAAGTAAATGGTATATAGACCAATTGTTTTATTCTTTTAGAAGTATTTAGGTTTGATTTTTGACTATTTACTTCAGAATCTCCTGGGGTATTTGGCAAAAGTGCAGATTTCTGGGTCCCATCCAAGGCAAACTGAACAAGAGCTTCTATAGGTAGGCTTAAAAATCTGCATGTTTAACAGCTTCCCAGGCAGTTCTTTTACTATTGATAGTGTAGAACTTGTGTTTGCTTTATTTTTAATTTAGAGATAATGTGACTTAAGATGGTTACTGATAAAATTTTAGATTTAATGCACATAAAATATATAAGACAGACCAAGCACGTAGCAGCTCCCAGTTGCGATTTTTTCCCTTAAGGATTTAATATGTCTTTTAGGCTTTGTAATTATACTGTGGTCTCCATTAAATATATTCAACTCTATGTTATAGCATGAACATAGTCATAGGCACTGTATATACATAAATAAACAATGTGCCAACTCGTATATTATCTATACAGTATGCATTTTATAACATGTGTCTGGTTATGACAAAGTGAAATTCACTAATTTATTACTCACTGTGATTAGTAGATTTATGGCTTATAGGTGTGAGATGGTAACTTGTTTTATCTTTGTGCAGTTTTTTCTATCTTAACTGTAACTAGAGTGATTAATTTAAAATTTTTTAAAAAGTGTGTAGATGGGAGTATATATGTTCCTATGCTTTAAAAATTTTTTTGTAGTTGTAGATGGACAGAATGTCTTATTTGTTTATTTGTGGTGCCAAGAATTGAACCCAGTGCCTCACACATACCAGGCAAGTCGCTCTGCCACTGAGCTATAGATCCATCCCTATTTCTATTCTTTCTTAACTATAATTAGGATGATTAATTTAAAATTTAAAAGTGTATAGGTAACATTCTTACACAGTACATTCAAAGACTGTAAGAATCATGCAGTTTGACCTTTTCACGTGCAAACGTTACAGGAAATGATGCGTCTGTTTGTTCTCACCATGTCAGCTGATAGGATTGAGGAATATGTGAGAAGACTGTGCTTAATTTCTAAAATGGATGATAGCTCTCAAGATTTTTGAAAAGTCAGTGCTAGGAATTAGGTGGTTGATAAACAGTGGCCCATTCCTTGCCCAAAAAGTTAGGAAAAGAAAACTTAATGATTATGATAGAATTTGAAATAAATAAGAAAACAAAAAGCAGTGGTTCTTGTCACAGTGCAGTAAAATAAGACTGGACAGTCACTTTTTAAATTACTCAATTATTATCTTAATAGACTTTATGCTAAGTGAACAAATTGGAATATT